CAGGAGTATAGATGAAATTAAAGGCACCTCTTCTATAGATATAGCTATTTAATCATTAGAAAGCATCATAATTTCTGTTTTGTGTTAAAGTGTTTTATGTGATTCAACACTGTCATTAAGATAGTGCTCTTGGAGGCAGAGACGGGAAGATTGCTTGGGCTCAGGAGTTCGAGACAACCTGAGCAAGAGTGAGACCCCCATCTCTACTAAAATAGAAGAATTAGCTAGTTTTGTGGCACATGCCCGTAGTCTCAGCTACTCAGGAGGCTAAGGCAGGAGGATCATTTGAGCCGAGGAATTTGAGGCTCCAGTGAGCTATGATGATGCCACTGTACTCTACTCAGGGTGACAGAGTGAGACTCTGTCTCAAAAAAAAAAAAAAAAAAAGTTTGTAGAATATATATAGACCATAAAAAATAATTTTGTCAGCAAGACAACCCCAATCTGGTCACTAAGATTTCAGAAAGAAATTATTGCTTCAAGGATACTTATGGGGATAGAATTCACCTTTTAAATTAAAATAAATATGTGCAGCTGCCAAAATCCTTCCAATTACCTGTTAGTTTTGACATGGGCTCAGTAAAAATGTTTGATAGAATCCTCAAATTTCTTCATAAATAGGAGAACAGACTGTGGGAATTTTATTTTTATTTCTTTTTGCTTTATATTTGCCAAAATATAACCATGAAGCAATGTGAGGAAGGCAACAGCTCTTCCAAATTTGAACTGAATTGATTAAGAAACCAAACAAAAGGTAAACAGCAACCAAGATTAAAAATGAGATTTGCAAACCTGGATCCCTCCTAAATTTAGTATCTTAGAAGTGTAAACCACACCGTGTTGGTAATGGAAAACTTGTATAAACTAATCTTACCTCCCACACACAAATATGAAATGGAAGAGACAAGATACCAAATCATAAAGCTAAATAAATCTTCTTCCTTAGTAACAAGAAATTAAGCCAAATATTACCAATTTGTAAGCAAATACTTCTTTTATTAGAGTAATGGTTCTTAATTTGGGAAGGTGAAAACCATGGAATCTGATTTTAGGAATCTGATTTTTAAAAAGTGATGGCATAATGCGAGTGGTCTTTGATAACTTCCTTGCTTTTTCGTATAGACAGAGAACACCTTTCAAAACACTGCATATGTACATTTCAGGGGGTTCATGGAACCCCTAGTGCTCTGTGAACTTCACATTAAGAAATTCTGACAGGCCAGGCATGGTGGCTCACGCCTGTAATCCTGGCACTCTGGGAGGCCGAGGCGGTGGATAGCTCAAAGTCAGGAGTTCGAAACCAGCCTGAGCAAGAGCGAGACCCTCTCTCTACTAGAAATAGAAAGAAATTAATTGGCCAACTAAAAACATACAGAAAAATTTAGCCGGGCATGGTGGCGCATGCCTGTAGTCCCAGCTACTCGGGAGGCTGAAGCAGGAGGATCGCTTGAGCCCAGGAGATTGAGGTTGCTGTGAGCTAGGCTGACACCATGGCACTCACTCTAGCCTGGGCAACAAAGTGAGACTCTGTCTCAAAAAAAAAAGAAAAAGAAAAGAAAAGAAAAAGAAATTCTGACAAAGAGGTCCTCAATTCTCAAAACTCTGGTAGAATTCATGGTGAATCTATCCCTATATGTGCCTTTTTAAACTTAAAACCTGCAGCAACTACCATTACCAATTTAGGGATCTAAAAAAATAATGGCTATTTTTCACCCTTTTGATAACACTCCACCATATTTTACAAACTACCATAATTCCTACTCTGGAAAAGAAGGTAGGATTTAAATTCTAAATAAAATACATGATGCTTCATTTTTCAATAACTTCACATTTGTTTTAAAGAACAAATTCCGTGTTGTATATTTCCTTACTTGATTATTTTAATCCAAATTTTTGCCCCTTCTTTTGTCCCTTCGTTCATGTCTTATTTTTACATTTTTATTATTTTTTTGTGGTTCAGTTGTGTTGGTTTTGTTTCTTTTCTTTTTTTTTTAGGGTAGTCTGAGCTGGAAACTTGAGTTTATGTACACATACATATGCACTGTGGTACCTTCGTTGTAGTAACTCTTACCTTGAAAATCATCCTCTGATATGTGCAATTCTGCGAATATGTTTCGCAACTTATTTAACGCAAATGGGGGCATTGTAATCACTTTAATCCTATACATACACATTACTTTCTTTTCCAAATGGTTTACAAGGAGATTCTAAAGGAACATAAATTATTCATTTCCTTCAGTCATTTTAAATTCCACAAACTATATTAAAGATAATTCAAAATTCTTCTTACTTCCATATCTATTTAGACATAATCAAATTACAGTGCTGGGGATAAATTACACATTTAACATTTTATATTTTTGTGTAATATATGTTGTCTATGGACTGTTCCTACTTAGATATTTGCTAATAGAATAAATACTTCACATTGTACATGTTGGTTTTCTTGAAAGTAGAAGCATTACTGAATCAAAAACATGGACTTCCATATAGTTCTACATATATATTTTTGTAAGTATATGTTATATTTTAGTCTGTTATAATAAGCAAAATCAACTCTTCATAAGAAAGTAATTTCAAAATTACAAAGTCATGAAATTAGAGACACCTGGGTTCAAATCCTGTTTTCTGTTTGCTGTGATATTCTCTGAATTCCCTCATCTGTAATATGGGGCAAATAGTACCCACACTATAGGGTTTCTGTGAATTAAATTTGAAATAAATTAGGGCAGGGCCTGGCATATAGTTAATAATAGGTAAATATTTATTATTTTTAGAGCAGAATTTCATCTTACCTAGGAGTTAAGCTCCCAGTAAGCATAGCACATGAAAAAAACACTTTTAATTAAAATTACTCTTACAGGCTTGAAAATTGCTAAGAGAGTAGATTTTTAAGTGTTCTCAGAAAGTGAAGTGATGCATATGTTAATTAGTTTGATTTAGCCATTCCACAATGTGTGTGTGTGTGTGTATATATATATCAAAACATCATATTGTAGCCAGGTGCAATGACTCAGGCCTGTAATCCTATCCCTTTGGGAGGCGGAGGTGGGAAGATCACTTGAGGTCAGGTGTTCAAGACCAATGTGAGCAACATAAAGGGAAACCCCCCCTTCTCTACTAAAAATAAAAAAATTGAAAAAAGTAAAAAGTTAGCCAGGCATAGGGTGCGTTCCTGTAGTCCCAGCTACTTGGAAGGCTGACGCAGGAGGATCACTTGAGCCCAGGCATTGAAGGTTGCAGTGAGTTATGATGATGCCTCTGCACTCTTAGCTCAGGCAACAGAGACCCTGTCTCAAAGCAAAAATGAAAACATCATACTGTATACCATAAATATATGCAATTTTTATTTATCAATTAAATATAAATAAATGTTATTCAGATTTCATAAATCAATTATGAATTACAATATATATAGGTTTGTATATAGTACATAGCTCATGTTAATATATTTAATCTTTTTTTTTTTGAGACAGAGGCTTGCTCTCTTGCCCCAGCTAGAGTGCTGTGGCATTAGCCTAGCTCATAACAACCTTAAAATCCTAGGCTTACGCGATCCTCCTGCCTAAGCCTCCCGAGTAGCTGGGACTACAGGCATGTGCCACCAGGCCCAGCTAACTTTTTCCCCTCTATTTTAGTTGCCCAACTAATTTCTTTCTATTTTTAGTAGAGATAGGGTCTCACTCTTGCTCAGGCAAGTCTGGAACTCCTGACCTCAAGCGATCCACCCACCTCAGCCTCCAAAATGCTAAGATTACAGGCGTGAGCCACCATGTCCGGCTTAACTAATCTTTCTTGTGGGTCTACCCTGTGCTAAGGACTAAGAGATACTGGGACATAGAAAAGTGAACAATTATTCAAAGTTCACGTTGGGATTAGAAAAAGAAGTAAAATTAAAAAAAAAAAAAAAGGTGGTCCGAGTGCAGTGGTGTTTACAACTAATTGATCACAACCAGTTACAGATTCCTTTGTTCCTTCTCCACTCCCACTGCTCCACTTGACCAGCCTTTAAAAAAAAAAAAAAAGAAAAGAAAAGAAGTAAGAATAAAATAAATAAGAAAATTAAAAATAAAAAATAAGAGTGAACAAAATAGATGTGATTACTCTCCTTAGGTGGCTTATCAATGAGACAATCATGAATTACAAAATGGCACAAAATATGCTATGATAGTGACAGTATAGGGTGGTCTAGAGCTCTTATGATTTGGGTAGAAAAAGCCAGGAGAAAGTGACAGCTGAATCATGAAGCATGAGTTGAAGTAAACCAGGGAAGGAGATAAAATGCACACAAGGACAGAAAAGGCTAATGTCCTTAGGAGGTAATGTAAAAGCATTTGTAGTCAATCCTCAGGGCAGGGGAAAATACCAATAGTTTTCGTTAGGCAGTTAGGAAAGTTGATTCCTGTTATATAAACATTGAGTAAGAATGCAGCAAGGGCCAGGGCGCGGGGCTCACGCCTGTAATCCTAGCACTCTGGAGGCCAGGCGGGTGGATGCTCCGGGTTAGGAGTTCAAACCACCCTGACAAGAGCAAACCCGTCTCTACTATAAATAGAAAGAAATTAATGGCCAACATATAATACGAAGCAAAAATTAGCCGGGCATGGGCGCATGCCTGTAGTCCGAGCTACTAGGAGGTTGAGGCAGGAGGATGGCTTGAGCCAGGAGTTTGAGGTTGCTGTGAGCGGGCTGGCGCACGGCACTCCACTCTAGCCTGGGCAACAAAGCAAGACTCTGTCTAAAAAAAAAGAATCAGTAAGAGCTGAAGGCTTATTTTTACAGAAAAATGACAGCTAAGGGAGAGAGGAATAAAAACATAGAACATTGGAAAACCACTACTTGTAGCTTTAAAGTAATAATTTGGGCCAAAATAATTAATGGATGGTAAAATGAATGGGCAGAAGGATGTTGGGGAACAGCATAGTGACAAGAAGTTCATCAAGTTTTCCTCCCCCAGATGATTTACAAATTATATATTTTTCTTTTCTTCTTTTTTTCAGATACCTGTGAAAGGATGATTTATGAATTATAAAGGGAATTATGTGTCCTTACAGTGGAAAGATCTCACCAACTTGATATTTTATGCCTCCTGATACAATAAAATATGTTGAAGTCCTAACCCACAGTAGCTCAGAATGTGACTATGTTTGGAGATAGTGCCTTTAAAGAGGTCATTAAGACAAAACGAGGTCATATGTGTGCATCCAATGTGACTGGCGTCCTTATAATAAGAGGAGGGTAGGGCACGGACTCACTCAGAGGAAAGACCACGTGAAGCCACACAGGGAGAAGATATCCCAGGAGACTCAGATGATAGCAACTCAGGTGACACTGTAATCTTAGACTTCTTCCCCCCAGAATTTTGAGAAAATAACTTCTGCTGCTTAAGCCACCCAATCTGTGGAACTTCATTATGGCAGCCCTAGCAAACTAATACTGAAGTACATATTTTAATAGATGTTCTTGATAAAAATGTTTTTAAAAATCTAATTAGGGTCGGGCGTGGTGGCTCATGCCTGTAATCCTAGCACTCTGGGAGGCCGAGGTGGGAGGATCATTCAAGGTCAGGAGTTTGAAACGAGTCTGAGAAAGAGCGAGACCCATCTCTACTAAAAATAGAAAGAAATTAATTGGCCAACTAATATATATAGAAAAAATTAGCCTGGCATGGGTGGCGCATGTCTGTAGTCCCAGCTACTTGTGAGGCTGAGGCAGGGATCACTTGAGCCCAGGAGATAATGTTGCTGTGAGCTAGTCTGATGCCACAGCACTCACTCTAGCCTGGGCAATAAAGCGAGACTCTGTTCAAAAAAAAAAAAAAACATTAATTGGCCACTAAAAAATATATATATAGAAAATCTGGCGGGCATGATGGGCATGCGCTGTAGGCCAGCTACTCGGGAGGCTGAGGCAGGAGGATTGCTTGAGCCCAGGAGTTGGAGATGCGGTGAGCTAGGCTGACGCCATGGCACTTCAGCCCAGGCAACAGAGTGAAGACTCTATCTCAAAAAAAAAAAAAGAGTGAAGAGGTTAATTGAATCGAAGCATCAACAGATAGATAAGGAGACGCTTTTTGCATTGGAGAAATTTCTTGATTCCTCTCTAGTCTCTCTTCGATCATGGTCCTCCTACCCAACTCCAGCCATATTGAACTTTTGTTCCTTCCCACACCACGTTCTCTGCTCCCCCCTTCCTAGACTTTACACATATTGTTCTCCTTGCCTGGAACTTCTCTTGCCTTCTGGTGATGTCCCCAGCGCCTTTCGAGCTAGCAAGCTGTCTTTGCGGCGCCCGGTTCCTCAACGTGTTCTCAGGTGTCTCAGAGCATAAGTATGTCGCTAGATCAGATCGCCATTATCATACTAGGGTAGTAGCGAGAGGCTTAGTAGTAAGGCGCAGCGCGTGTTAGAGAAGCCGCGAGAGAGCGATGGAGCGAGCGCGAGGAGAGAGCGCGAGAGATAGGCACTTCGGGAAATATGTGCTGAGAACGGATAGGAGATGGAATGTGCTCAGAGCGCAACTCCCAAACTTAACTGGATTAAATGAGGAAAAATTGTGGAAAGGCTGTATAAGATGTACTTGTTAACGCAATATGGCAGGGCTGGGTGTGATGGTTCACACCTGTAATGCCCGAACGATTTTGGGAGGCCAGAGCAGGAAGGGAGATTGCTGAGTCCAGACACAGTTCAAGGACCAGCCTGGGCAACACAGCGCAAACCCCAATCCATCACCAACCACAAAAAAAAAATCAACCGAGGGCGTAGCGGGTGCGATGCCTGTAGTGCCGTATGACTACTCAGGAGGTGGAGGCAGCAGGAGGATCCCTTGAGCCCTGAAGTTTGCAGCTGCAGTGAGTTATGTGATCAGGCCAATGCTCTCCAGCCTGGGCAGCAGAGTGAGACCCTGTCTCAAAAAAACCAAACCAAACCAAACTGAAAAACCACCTTTGGTATCTAGGCTTGAGTTCTGGGATTGGGAATAAAATACAGATAAAAATGTAATTGGTTAAATGTGAGCTCTTAGTGAAAATCCTGGGACAGGCCTATTAAAAGCATCATCCCATATCTGTTTTTGCAATTTTCAGCCTATGTAAGTTAAGCTATTTAAGTGTACTTATCCATTTGGCGAAGGATTTCAAAAGTGAGGGGAAAAATCATTATTCCAGCAATGATTTGCCGTTACAGGCCTGAAGCGCCACAGGCATTAAGCCACCCAAAATCTGTATAGCATGAGTCACAAACCTAACAGGTCTTTACTCTGCCTGAATTCCAATTCCTAATCACAAAGTTAACTATGAACATGACAACATTTGAAAATAAAAGAACTGATTCTGCAAGGGACATTTTATTTTACATATCTCTATATGCCTAAGAAAGAGAGTCATAACAGATGTATTCAAATAATGTAGTATATAATTAACATGAGTTCATATTCTAAATAAGCTCTATGGAAATAAAAAAATTCAGAATCATTTCTAAAGCATTTTTCTCCATAAAATATTTTATTTTTCCAATAAGATAAGAAGCGAATGGACTCATGGCTGAATTTTGTTGTGGTGCATAGTCAGCCCATAAATTTTTTGACTGGATCAATTGGCTCAAACTGGTATAAAGGAAATCTAGATTCTAATCCTAGCTCAAGTTCTGTGGAAGTAGGTAAAGCCCTGAACCTAACACTACACTAATAAATATGTAAGTTAAGTGGTATATTTGTGATAATTGCTTTTGGAATAAAAGATAAAGCAAGCTTGAGATTAGGAGTAGGTGTGCATGCTTAGGCAGGTGTATATGCTTGACATATGTGAGCCCTCAGTACAATATTATCATCATTAGTACTTTGATTTTATCATCTGTAAATAAAAACATTAGGTTGAATGATTCCTCTAGCATTTGAAAAAAAATTTGTGTTCCAATTCTAGGATTTTGTGCTAGTTTGTGTTGCGAAACTGCCTATAATATCCAGTTTTTGATAATTATATTATTTGTTGCTTAATCTTTTTGTTTCATCTCTGTGTAAAATGTTGTGTGGATTGTGCTATAATTTAAAAAATACATATTGTTAAATGACAAACTCATGAATTGTAGTGGTATTGTAAGAAAAAAATGTAACAAAGATAGTGTGTCAGGCCGTGTTTCCTCTTTTTTCTTTTTTTGTTTTTTGAGACAAGAGTCTCGCTTGGCTGCGAGTTGTAGTGCCGTGGTACGTCTCCATAATCCTCGGTGTGCGCCTGCTTCTGATTGTAGCTGGATACAGGCATGGAGTCATGCCCAGCTAATTTTTCTAAATTATACCAAAAGGATAGTAGAGGACGGTGGTTCAGGCTGGCCTTCTCTTGGACCTGAGCAATCACCCGCTCGGCCTCCCAGAGTTGCTAAGATTTAATGGCGTGCCTCTCGCCCGGCATGACGTTCTCTAAATTTTATCTTTTTGGTCATTGATTGATAATTATTTTAAGTTTTCAATAAATACTGGCAGACAGCCCCATTCTAACATATTCCTGTTTCAAATTGACATTGTTATTGTTGTCTTGGAAATAGACATTTGCAGCACACCTGTTAAAACCTACCCCCAAAGACGACTGAGCATCATTAAAAGTAGATGCTATAAATTATAAACCGGAAGACAGATTGTCAGCTCCAGATGAGTTTCTACATGATTATTAATTTTTTTTAAATGAAAGAAGACAAATCTTCATATTCGTTTAAAGCAGCTTAATCGTCTTGCATTAATAAAGGACACAAGAAAGAGTCTACACAATGTATGTTGTTTTCTGTAGCAGTCTTACTATTCCACTGCCTGCACAAGGATGTAGAGTCTAGCAAAGTAAAATGTACAATAGTCCTAAATGTTCTAATATTCTAATACTCTTCCCTTCTTTATCCTCTTCTACTTATTAGCTGGTTTAAATTATACTATCATGGGTTCTAGATATTTGGTAGAAAAATTTCAGTAATTCAAAACATATATGTATTAGTTATTGATTGCCGCATAACAAATCATCCCCCGGCCGGGCACGGTGGCTCACGCCTGTAATCCTAGCACTCTGGGAGGCCGAGGCAGGAGGATTGCTCAAGGTCAGGAGTTCGAAACCAGCCTGAGCAAGAGCCCATTCAACATATTCCTGTTTCAATTGCATATGTGCCTTATTGTGCCCTTGGACCAAACAGACATTTCGACAAGGCATGCCGTGGTAATTAAGGAATGATCCACCCCCAGCATTTTCGCCGGGCGCTTGAGTGGCTTCAAGCCTCTTTTAGAAAGGAAATAAAAAAAATCTATCCCATGGCACTTTGGTGAGCGTCAAAGGCGTATCTTCTGAAAGTGAACACTGAAGGACGAGGGGGTTAGCAGGTGTGGGGCTAGAAGTTTTGCCCCGAGGATATCAGGAGTTTCGATGACGAGCTGAGCAAGAGCAAAGACCCCATCCTATGATAAATAGAAAGAACTTATTGGCCCAACTAATAAATATATAAAAATTAGCCGGGCGTGGTGGCACATGCCTGTAGCCAGCTTACTCGGGAGGCTGAGGCAGTAGGATTGCTTGAGCCCAGGAGTTGATGTTGCTGAGCTAGGCTTGACGCCATGGCACTGCAGCTCTTAGCCTGTGCAACAAGTGAGAGCGTATCTGTCTCCAAA